GCAACACATGCTACCTGTAGAAATGATGAGCAGGACGCCCTGAAACAACGTTGCTGGGAGTGTCTCTTTCAGCGTTTAGGAACGGCAAAGAAAGGAGATAGTAGTTGCCCCGGCTCGAAAGACCAGGAACAGTCAACGGCCATGGCCTTCCCACGACTCGACAATGAACAACAACCACAGAGAGCAGTGACTCTGGGCTGAAGACGTATTTTCCTTCCTGTACGATGAGCAGCTTCTCCCCACCCCCCCCACCGAACTAGCTAACCTGGTTGGTCAACCACCTCCAACTGCCGCAACATTTTCTACTGTGAACAAACGCTGCCGCAACAACAACAGCAGCAGCAGTCCTTGTCCGTCCCAGCTACACGATGCGCGCCGCGCGTTGATGGGGAGCGGCAGGAGGAACAACACCGCGCACCCGAGCTACGAGAGCCTCGACGCCTTCTTTTGCGGCTGCTTGGAGCGCGTGGAGGCAGCGTACGCCACGCTGAACAAGGCCTTCAAGGTGAGAACGATATCGTATGCTTGTATAGGCTGCATGTATGTATTGTTTTGTTCTGGTTTCACAAGGCGTGAGATGCTCCGACAACTATATATGTACATGTGGTCAAGAGCGGAGTGTATTTCTAACGGACGCGTACGACGAGTACATAATATATACTACATATCGCGGACTGTGCTGTGCGATTGGTTGTTTTGTCCATGCTTGCCCCCGTTATCTTGTTTGTCTTTCGCTTTGCACACGTTCTCCCGGACCAAACCCACGCTGACTTAGTTTGCATGAAACTCTGTATCCTATCGGACGGGCGGACTTGGCGCGAGCAGGGGATCGATTGGTAAACGGACGCGCACGCAAAAACTAATTTCAAATCTTTGCGTGCGTGCGTTCGTGTTGCACGGATGGATGCGACTTGCTCCGTCCGTGCGTGCCGAACACAAGAAGATAAGGGTAGAGTGCTGGATCGCCAAGCTCAACGGCCCGTACCCGCTGCCCAACGTCGCGTGGCGAAAGAACCGAAACGCCTTCGCCGCTCTCCTCGCCCGTGCCGTGGAAGAGGTCGACTTCAGAGAGCCGTTTGATAGGCGCCCCCCAGGTGGGTCGAGTGCTCCCTCCCTCTGCCTCAACATCAGGGGTGCGCGCGGACGCCGTCGCCCCCTCCCTCCGTGAGTGGCGCCGCCGCCCCTCGGGAGTTAATCGCGCATCTTGTTTTCCGTGGATCATTGGTTTTCGGCTTGACACCGCGTGTATGATCAGGTTTTGTCGCCATCAAACTAAGTAAATCGAGCGTGTTGTACGAAACCTACTGTGTCCTGTTCTTGTGCCATCGTCTGACTCACTCAACACTTCACTTTTCTACCACACTCGCCCTGACGTTAGTTGGCGCTCTGTATTCGATCTTTTTGCGACGGCAGAGGGGAGTCTGCCCACCCTAGCGCCCCACCTCCGAGCCCGCATTCCTGACCGAAACCCGTTCCGACGAACTGGCAGCGACTTCTGGCTGCGGCACAGAGCTTGGTTGGACACTAGCGTGAGTCGCCTCACGTACTTGTGTTTTACGAGCTACTGTACCGCTGGACGAAGATCGGAGTGGGATGGGGGGGAGGGATGGCGGGGGTTGTATAGCGTGCTTTCACGGTAACGAAAGGAAATAGTGCCTTCTCTGAAATACGCATCACGAAGTAATTCTCGTAGTCTTCGTTGTTCGAAACATATCCTCCGTGTTGCTGGGAAACACAGCGATTACATGCTTCAGCCTCACTCGAGGAGGGTTGGCGGCTGCTGCTGTGGCAGAACGAGAATCTCTCTTTCGATACGGACGCCGCAGAGATGTCTCCCGCAGACCCCCCCCCGCCCCCCGCCCGTAAAACGTCATCCAATCGATGATCAGCGAGGCCTTTCCGGGAGAGATTTCGCCAACGAGGCCGCCGAAGCGTCCCGCACTTTTCAGCCGACAAGAAGAGGGTCGCCATCGCTAACGAGCCAGGACCCCCGATTCGCGTCACCCGGGTTGCAGGGGGCAGGGCACGACGATACTGCTGACACCACCGTCATCGGCGGTGGCATCACTAGCGGGATTACGACTACTTCTGCTGGCGGTTGTTGCGGCTCCACCGCGGCGGCCCTTTCGCCACTCGCGCCGCCGCCGCCGCCGAACCCCTCATCCCCGAGAACACACAGCGGCGGCGGCAGCGGCAACAATAACACCGCGCCGTGCGCCGCCGCCGCTCGAGGTCCCTGCGGCACCCGCACCGCAAAGAGCAAGAGATGTCCGTGCGACCCTCTTGGAAAGGCGGGGTTCGAGGTGGGGGCAGGGGGGGCGCCACGCGGAGGAGAAGCCGGCGGCGGAGTGGAGGCAGCGGGAGAAAGGGTGGGGTGCGGGCATTGCGGGTGTGACGGAGAGAGAGTGCGGGTGAGGGGGGAACGATTGGGCCGTTGGGTTGCCTGATGCAAGGAAACACCGTACGTATTGATTGATCGTTATTGTTGTACTGTACAATTGTGGTATTGTGTTCTGAGGCGGGTTTCGGTCTGGCGGGGCACACCACCACCCGTCGGCACGGGCATTGGTACTTTCCTTGTCAGGTTGTGGTATCAGAAGCACGCTCAATGCGATGGTTAAGCTGTCGCTGCGCTGGCAAGGGAAGAACATATGATCACATCCTTACACGTCGATCACATCTAGGATGAAAGCGACGCGCTGCAAAGCTCGTTGTTAGTAAACTTGCTCGACTTCGTAAGTCGCGAGGGAAGGGATTGCTCTACCCTTCTCGCGATAAAAATACCTCAGGCAGGAACCGTAGGAGGGGGTCCAGCCCCCCCCTCCGATGTGACCCCGGTTGGGTCGTCTAGCTAGTAGAAGTGGAGGATAGGGGCCAGAGGGGCAGACGACAGATTCCAATGATGGGAGAAAAACAAAACAAAACAAACAAACAACGTCTATCTGTACTCCGTTCGCCTCTTTCTTGCTGTCTTGCTGAAAAATACTCGCTGCAGACAAGTAGGTGCACACTCACATAAAATACCCCACCAAAACATTGGAAAGTACATTATTTTTAGGAAGGGAGGGCAATTGCTGGCTGGCTCCATCTCACACGAGGTGTACGCTGGCCGATACTCTCGACACAAAACCACGCCCAACGAAACATTAGAACGCTTGTCTGCGCCTACCTTGTACAGAGCACGCCCTTACGGTCTGTTGTATTGCTTTCTTCACATGCTTGGGTTGTTTGTCCCAAAACAACCACAACAACGCGACACGACGCATTCAGGCCCTTCAGACGATGGTCAGGGAGCAAGCCCTCCAGCTCGCCGCTCTCCGCCTTCAGCAAGCGTATCGGGGGAGGGCCCAGGCGGCAGAGCTGCAGCGTATACGGCACGTGAGTGACCAGGCGGTGAAGGACTGGGAACGAACGGACGAGCATGGTTTCATGTATGTATTCTTTTTTTCCGGCCTGTAGAAGAACGGAGCTAGATGCTGTAGCTAGCCCACAACACGCAGAGCGCGTACACGGATGGACGCACGGCGGGCAAAACAAGGTGGAAGCACAGACCGGTCGCGGACTGCAGGGAGGATACATATTGATTGTTGTGTCTTGTGTGTGTCATCGCCTTCTTGGATAAAACGCGAAACGAACGGGCAACAAGATGAACAGGGAAAAGGGCGTTCGTTGCGCACGCTCGCATTCATTCATCCCACACATTGCAAATATTGCAGCGGAGCAACACGTTGCTTGTTTATCCAATGCCCCCGCCTTCGAGACGAACGAACGGAAATTTCTCATGGACAGAAATACGTAGAACGACATCCCGACCTACCTGCAGGCATATGTTCGGGGCACGGAAGGGATTGCAAGACTTCGGCAAAACGACGAGGTGCGAGTGACGGGGGGGGGGGG